GCAAACTGGGCCTGACCGGCTGTGCTGGCATCGCCACAAACAAGCTGCTAGCCAAACTGGTTTCAGGCACCTTCAAACCCAACCAGCAAACCACTCTGCTCCCAGAAAACATCAGTGACATCATGGGCTGCCTAAGCAGTGTCCGCAAAGTGCCAGGTATAGATGCTCTAAAAGATAGTTAATCATCAGTAGATGGCAGGTAGGTGAACAGAAATGCATAACACGATATGCATCGAGATTGAGTTTTAATGAAGTATAGTTGTTACACTGTTGTCCTTAACATTTGGAGCATTTTTAATTAAAGATGCTTTTATCCAAAACTCACTTATGCATTTTTGTTGTGTGTCACATATGTTAAATATGCCTGACAATATATTTTGTGGTGCCATCTTGTATTCTCAGGGGTGGGTCACCAAACTGCTAAGAGACTTCAAGCCCTGGGATTGGTCAGCGTAAAAGACCTGCAGCTGTGTCCTCTGAATGACCTGGCGAAGGAGTTTGGAAGTCCCACTGCTCAGCGTTTGAAGAATCTGTCCCTCGGTGTTGATGACTCACCTGTTACTTGTACTGGGGCTCCTCAGGTAGGATGCGACATCTGAGATTCCTGGTATCTAAGAAAGCTAAGGTCGGGAAGCTAAATGAGTTTTTCTTTTTTGTAGCTACAACCTGCATTTTTTCTGATGATCAGCAGGGAGCGGCTGCAGTAAAAAGATTTATGAATAAATGGGTGTTTGCTCCATTTATTCAGGCCCCCATTTTTGCTGTGCAGAAACTCTTGCAGTACTACAAGATAAGAAACTATTGGAACTTAATTACTGCTATCTACAGCTTATATAGTGTGAGGTTGTATGTTTTTAAACACTTCACTGATAAATAAGTTTTAGTAGTATTCAAACAAAACATCAGTGACTTGGTTTTAATTTGGCGTTTTGAGTTTAAGCAATCCAGTTCAGTTTAGTGAACCATAGTTATTTAGTTTTAAAATATAGAAAAAAGAATCCAGAAGTGACCTTTAAGGAAGCAGATGAAGAGTAAAAATGGAAGTTCATAAATAATATTGATTCCTGTGTTTTTAATATGTAAATTGCCGTAGAAATCCTTTAATTCTAGTCATGTTTGATGGGAAACGATTTTACATTTCTTGGCTGCATTGCTCTCCTCTTTATGTTTCAGTCTCTCAGTGATGAAGACTCTTTCAAAAAAATGTCCTCAACAAAAGAAGTTTCAGAGAAGACACAACAACTTCTGAGCAGTCTGGTTGAAAGGTCTGTTTTACCAGCTCAAAGCTGAATCGCCACAGGGGGATGGCTTCCTTAATCTTACCTTTGGCTTTATATTTGAAAGCAGGATGCGCAAAGACGGCAGGCAGCCTCAAACCTTCAGGCTCACAATCCGTAAATACACAACGACCAACAAGTGGTTCAGTCGGGAGAGCCGGCAGTGTCCGATCCCCAACCACATTGGACAGAAGATCAGCTCTGGTATGCTCACGTGTCAGGGAGAGCTCAGAATGATATCTGTAGAGGTTTTATCAGGTTTTTAATTTTCTGTGTGTATAAATTTTTGAAAAATGTGCTTCCACACTATAGTGGTTTACACATTTGCCTAAAGAGCAAGAGTTACCCACTCTGTCTATCCCTTGTCAATAATTAAATTTTGTTTTTTCAAAAATCTTCTCTCATAAATGTTTTACAGATCCTTTTCTTATGTTCTGTCACACATGTACTGCTAAATGGTAGATCCTCAAAATAAGATCATTTCTAGATGAGCCCTTTGATCCAACATTTCAGATTTCAGATTGCTCCAAATGCTCTGTTAAAAGCTGTTTATCATCCACTTAGAGTTTTACAATGTCACTCTGAGCAGATATCTCTATAAATGATCATTACACAGGAGGCTCCTCCTCCTTCTGCTTAACAAAGCGCCTCCTTTTAGAGGAAAAAATAAGGTTTAGTTTGAACTGTGAAGCATGCAAAGCTTCTCTAATAGAGTCAAAAAATAAAACGTAGCCAAAATATTAAACAATGTATACATTTTTTAAAAATATATTTGTCCTGGCTCTCTGCCTTTGAAAACTACATCCTTTTCCCCGAGATTTTGTCAGCATTCAGCAGTTTCCCCTCAGGCTAACTATAAATGAATATTCCTAGTCTTTACCCAACACAAACAGGCTACGCTGGGAAGGAGCTTAACCTTGCAGACTTTAGTTGCTAAAGTTGATTTCTCAAGTCAAAATCAGAGCATAAATAAACTTTTTTGATTTTGAGTTTAAGTCGGTTTACAGTGATTTCTTGCTTTTTCGCTAAACAAAAACATAATGAAAAGCTTTAGTCATCCAGGTCTGACTATAACTAGAAGTCTAGATGTACCATATCTACTGAGCCTTTGTAATATCTGGTAATGTCTTCAATCACATTAATTTAAATTAATCGGTTAATTAGTTGGTTAATGAAAGCAGTTAAAATCAGCTCAGTTAGGAAAACTCTTTCCATTAAAACAGTTTTTCTCTAATGCGTCTATAGGCAGCAGTGATGATGCTGTGATGCAGCTGCTCCCGTTGGCCATGAAACTCTTCTACAGGATGGTGGACTGCGGCGCCCCCTTCCACCTCACCCTCATTAACGTCTGCTTCAGTAATCTGCAGACCAGAGCAGCTGCCGTCACCGGGAAGGGCTCGATAACATCGTTCTTTTCACAGAGCACATCTCCCAAAAAATCCCAGGCCGTCTTATCGCAGTGCCAGGTAAAATGTAACGTGGCTTGTCAACACTGTTAGATAATCTTAGTTTGATTTTTCCATAAAAAGGAAAATGAAAGGGGTTGTAATAAAAAACATAGTAAAATCTTTTAACTGTAGCCTATAAAAGTGAAATTTTTTGGATTGCCCGCTAAGGCCTTCAGAATCACTCATGAAAACTGTTGGATCTGATTTCTGTCTGATTAGGGCTGCAAATAACTTTATTTTCTATCATATTAGTATATGAATTAATTAATTAATTATAAAATGTCAAACCATAATGGAAAAAAAAATTATTTATCATTTTCTTTCATTCCTATTACTAAGCGCCATTAGAGTTGCACTCGACAATTTCAATACTACGATTTGCAGTAGCTGGATCACTGAGGATCCACTGCCAGCATCCTAATGTTATAGACACCCAGAGGATTTTTGTCCATACTCTGATGGGTCAGAGATATTGAGCCAGCCATGGAAACCATGGCACATCACTATAGGCAAATTGATGTAATGAAATCATTGGATTTCCTGTTCTAAAAATATGCTACTGTAACCTGATTACCACCATTGGCAGTACTCCTCTTTCTTATTTGGCTGTTAGGGGCAAATATTTGTGGGTTTCTAAAGACACTCCAGAGCAACTTCAGGGGTTTTTCCTGACTTAAAATTAGCCTTTCAGGGTCAAGTATGGACGTAAGCACAACTAGTCATCATATTCTTGAGGCAATAAGTGTGTGTAACCATACGTAAGAGAGGTCCGCACATTATTTCTGGCCATGCTTGAGGAAATGAAAGCCCACTTAAAATATTACAACCCCTGCGATTTTCTTTTTAGGTAGCAACAAAACGTCTTTGTTAGGTGCCAAATTTATTATTCCGAAGAAAAACTGTGAACTGTGTTTAAATAAGTAATGACAGCTGAAACTTTCCTTCATGTTCTGCCTCAAAATGTCATTAAAGACATAATTTATCCAGATCATGTGGTCTGAGCTGATGGGCTTTCATGAAACATGTTTAACTTGAGTGGACTTCATATGTAACCAAACTCCATGAAAACGCTGCTTTGTGTTAGCAGTGGGAAGTCCTGAAAAATGTATTTAAGGCCATATTGGCTCTACTTTGAACATCATGATCATGAAATAGGTATTAAATTAAAGTCAAAGTGGTATTAGAAGGGTTCTTAAGAAATAATTAATGTTGGTCAGTAGAAAGGCTGTTCTTTCACACTGCCCAGTTACCTAATGCAGCATTTTTCTTTCCTGGAAGGAATGTGCTAGTACTCTGAATTTCCTCACTTCACTTTTGTTCCTCTTTCATTCTCCAGTGTGTTGATTCCTCTCAGGGTATTGATATGGATCATCAGTTTGGCACAGATGGCATGATTACTCAACACAATAAACAACCCGCCATACAAAGCTCTTCTAGTTCTTCTAGCTCTGAGGCACCATTACACGGGTTAAGATGGAAACAGAACTCTGCTGTCATTGTAGAAGAGACTCGAAATGCATCCTGCAGTACAGCTGGGTGCGACCCTGACGAAACTGCTAACGCTGTGACACGGTTGCCTCCCAATGTTGACCCGGAGGTGTTCAAGCTTCTTCCAGAGGACATCCAGAAGGAGCTGTTATCTCCTGCTTATGTGAGCTCCCTGTACAGCACTTCTAGCAGCCAGTCAGGCACTGATGTCCCCAGCACATCAAAAAGCAAACTTCCTGAGACACTTACAGACTCAGAAAGTATTAGTGACACAAAAGATGCTGCAAACAAGTTGAACTCTTCCAACAGAGCGACCACCGTCAATCACCAGGGGAAGGCAGGTACAAGCGCATTCCCAGAAGAAGAAGTCATGGAAGAAGGGGGTCTGTCATTCCCCCGGTTATCTGACTGCGAGTTCCCGGGAAATGTGGACCCTAAGGTGTTTTCTGAGCTTCCGCCAGATGTTCAAAGGGAGCTGATGTCTGAGTGGAAACAGCAGAAGCCAATTCTGAAGACTTCCTCATCTAAGAAACCAGGAAAAAGCTTGATGTCCAAAGACAGAAAGGCTCCAGGAAAAGGCAGCCAGGCCAACAACTTGTTCAAGTATTTCAAACCCAGTTAGAAACTATGTCACGAAGATAAATGAAAGTTTTCTTGATGTTGGGTTGTTGAACAAACTAAGCAACTTTTCTTAAGTAATTTATAACCTAAATTGACTCAGATGACCTTGAATGTCAGAAAGTTTGTTTTTCTTAAGCATTAAATAATTGATATCTAATACTGTGTGATATCTTTACCGTGTGTATAAAATATATTTTCTATCATACAACATATTATAATGGTAGATGTTCATATTAAACATGGTCAAACCATTTTTTGTGAGAGGCAACCAATCTGTATGTAGTTCACGTAAAGGAAGGGGGACTTTAAAAGGAGGGGTATACTAAGCTTTTAATCCTGCTTTTAACTGTTTAAGTATATATAGAAAAGATACAGAACCTGCCCAGCAATAAAGGAGGAAATTAACTGATTCCATCAATGATCAGTAGTTAAGCTCAATAATGGAATAACTAAACTATAACCTTAAAAATTAGTATGAGCAGAAAGCCTCACTTCAGACATTACTGATTAACCTGACAGTGCTGACAATTGATATATATTTAAAGTTCTTTTTTTTTGTACCACAGCACATATAAGTGACATAGTTTTCCTTTTTAGAAATAAAACCTTTTATAGAACTTAAAAACGTCTACAGGCCGCTTTGTGTTTAGAAGCAGGATTACTTCACTGAGCCTCCAGACGTGAGGCCCGTTTTTTTTGGTTGGACCATTTCCACTTAAATCCACAGACTATCCAGTGTTCAAAGAGCCCTTTTTCCTCGTAAATAACAGCGGAAAACACAAGGGTCTGTAAACACAGCAGAAGCTGGTATTAAACTCCTCCCTGGATCACATGTAGCACAGGGGAAAGGTTCAGGCTATGCAATGTACCATCGAATGATGATAGTGGTTATTTATTAAGAACAAGCGGTGCAACTTGTGAACGGATGTTTTCATTTTCTCCACGTAGACTGGTAAGATTTTAAAGTTTTAATGGTTTGTGTGTGTTGAGGGTGTAGTATTGATGTTTGGACTATTTAGAAAATTACTAAAGTAATGTTTTGTGTTAATCTAGTCAGTCTTTTTGTTAATCATTAGAGGGTTAATTAAGCAGCATCCTTGTCACTTGATTGCACAGAGTAAGATATAGTAATATCTCTTTTAATGTAGTTTTTTTTAAGTACATAAGGGAGTAAGAAAAATACTTTTAACTATTTGGCATCATTAAATGGGATTTCCCATCCTGCCTTTACTGGACTACCCCCAGCTGACAGTGTAAGCAAAGCATTGCGATGACATAGTTGCGTCATGCACTGCTGAGCTGTCTGCCCATAGCTCTTTAAGTCAATAAAAGGACTTCTGTGTGCCAAACAAGCTGGGTTTTGCTAAGCAAAGTTAGAGAAAACTCTGGAGAGGCATTTGACTACTCATGTGGAAGCCAGCTCCAGTCATGTGCTAGTCCTTCTCTGATCAGTGCCTAATGAGTGGGGAGTTATGACGTCCTGCTAAGCCTGTGTGATGGTCCTACAGCCTCAGACTGAGAACTGCAGCTTAGGTTGAAGAATTTAACCTTATAAGTTGTTATTTTCCCACATGTGTCTCAACTCTCATGGTTTGGGACATGTGAAAACCAGCAAAGTGTTGTAATGTGAGCTAAACTCTGTGGCAGGTTCGGCACTCAGCTGTACAATGGCTAACTGGGACTATGACTATCTGATCAAGCTGCTGGCTCTGGGGGACTCAGGAGTGGGAAAGACCACCTTCCTCTACAGGTACACTGACAACAAGTTCAACCGCAAATTCACAACCACAGTGGGCATCGACTTCAGGGAAAAGAGAGTGGTGAGTACATGTTAATGGTATTTAAATTATAGGGAAAAAACCATTTCAAAAACTCAGTAAGGCCAGGTAAGCCTTTTACACATTTATCTTTTTAAGTATTTTATAATAATTGGCAGATAATGTTTGATACAGAAATAAGTGGCCATTAACTTTTAATAGAGTACACAACAAATTATTATTTGACAGGTTAATGTGGGATCACTAGAGTCAAGAAAGCATTCTAGTGGAGATATATTGTAGGAAATATAAAAGAAGCAAAGATATGTTTGAAGGGATGACCCCCAGACTCCCTCCAATATTGATCCCCACCAGTGAAATCTGCATCTTTAATATCAAATGTTATTTAAAATGTTTTTGTTGTCTTTGTGTTAACAGTCATATGTGGTCTTTTTTTGTTAGTTTGTTTGTTTGTTTCACTGACTTCTTGCAGCAAGTCACAATAAATTGAGGCGTTCAGGTTGCTCTATTTTAGTAGAACTTTTCACATTTATTGAAACTATTTTAAATTTTACAAGAAAGACAAAGAAAAATCTGCAAATACTCACTGGACTAAAAAACTATCTCAATCTGAGAGTGTTCTTCTTACTTAAAACAATAATAAAGAAAAAGTATGCATATAGAGGGTAAAATTATTTTCTGGCTTCATCGTCTGTTAGAAAAAATGTGTTAACTCAGGTTGTTAGTAACATGGTAATAATCTATTGAAGAAAATCTAACTGAATGTCTAATAAACACTTAGACGTGCCAAACTCGTCTTAGGGAAATAATTAAAACAAAATAGAGAATTACAAATCAAAAGTTTAATACTTTCTTCTTGAAAAAATATAACAAAGAACAAAATGAAATCCTGTAAATCCTTATTGAGTAAAACCACGATTTTGAAGCTGAAGTAGCAACCCTAAATGTATTTTTCCTGATGTAATCAGCTATACTGAAAATGCTAGGTTTTTATGTTATATGAAAATCTCTGTAGTCAAGTCTGTAGCCAAGAGAAAAAAGACGTCTCTATTTGCTGCTTATATGAAACTAAAACATTAGTGTGGTATTATGTTGCCAGTACAGCTATGGTCACGTTGAGTTTTGTCCATAAAGTAGACCTGTTATATCAAATTATCTATTTTGCTTGATCCCTATCATAAGTGTAACTGTGTTGCATCCGTCCACGCATCCTGCTAATCCAAAGAAATGACACAAAACGTAAAATAGAAATCGTGTAATTTGGTTTGGATGTGGAGCATTTTGAACTTTTTGAGTTGATTACTGGGCTCTGTGTATTGCTTTAGGTTTATACGGGGACAGGTGTAGATGGGGCAACTGAGAAGAACTTCAAAGTTCACCTTCAGCTCTGGGACACAGCAGGACAAGAGAGGTAATCATGAAATTTTTCTTTGTTTCATAATTCATAGTTAATATTTCATAAATAAGTGTGTGTGTGGAGGATCGAAGCATTATTTATCATTTTAAAACTCTTTGCACCTGATAATTAATTCCTCACACCTGGTTTATGTAGTCCATTTCATGTCCGGAATGTCCAAATTTAGCTGTCAGGCACATGATACATGATGTGGTTGCAAAACCAGCTTAATTCTTCACCCTCCACTAACAGTCTTGACAGGTGGTATAAGGTGTTTGCCTTGATATACTGTGTTTGGTTTCCTCCAAGCTAAACACTATATTGTGCATTATGGACAAACATCTCTGCTTTGGTGTCATCTGTCCAAAAGATATTGTTCCTGACATCTTGTCATTTGTTCTGACATGTTCTTTTTAGAGAGAACAACTCTTGTTCAGTCTTTTGCTAATTGTATTGTCACAAACTTTCAGTGTTGGGGAGTAACGGAATACATGTGCCGGTATTCAGAATGCAGTTACTTTGTTGAAATAAATGGATTACACAGCGGTCTTTTCCTGCTTTATATGTTAAGCTATGCCCTCTCTATTTTTGGTAATTCCACACTGGTGGGAACCCAAACAAATCACATTAAGAGACTCTGTCTGTGTCTCAATCTCACGACCCATGTCACCCCTACTTGCAGCCCCATACAACGATGTGAAGGAATATCTTTATTATTCAAAACATTATTTAATATGAAGGCAACAGGCAGAGTGTTACAGGCATAGCCCTAAAGGATGTAGCCTCATGGGCAGTGTAGTCCGTGCTGCAGGGAGAAGGCACTGCCATACTCATTATCTGTCTGTGTGCAAGGGAGGGAGAAAAAGAAGAGTGGAAAAGTACGAGTTGTCACCGACCAGAAACGGGAGCTGGAAGCATGTAAATATAAAAATAACCACTGCAGCCAAAAAGAGAGCCTGACGAGCCCAGTTGTAAGTAAGCTATTAAGGCTCGACTGTACACTGTGTTCGTGTTTTCCTTCAAAATAACAATAAGTTCAGTTGGAGCAGCCTTTCAACGCCTCTCTCTGTCTCTCGCAAAGTTGACCCAGAAAACAAAGTAAAGCTAGTTTTCGGCTATGAGCCCGACACAGAACCCGACGTATTAGCCAGAGGTCCCTTTACTACGGTTCGGAGCTGCTGACCTGTTTTATAGTTCGCTACAAAAAATGCAGCCTTACCTAATGTCCACCCTACTGTTTCTCATTTTATATTAAGATTTAAAAATCTAGTTAGTATTGGTATGGCGAGTAGCCTTCAGTAATAGTAATAAATCACACAGCAATAGTACATTCATGTAGTTGTAAAAAGCATGATAATATATTAAGTAATCCAAAGTATTCAGAATACGTTACTCTCATTGAGTAATGAAACGGAATACGTTACAATATACATTTTGGGGCATGTATTCTGTAATCTGTTGTGGAATACATTTTAAAAGTAACCTTCCCAACGCTGTAAACCTTAGCATGCTAACTGAGGCCTGTAGAGTCTGAAATTTGGCGCTTGTCTGAATTTGTTGTTTGATCTGAGAAAGGTTGTAGGATTGTGCTAACTCACCCTTCAATGCTCCAGACAAGCAAAATGCAATAGATTCTGCATTTAAAGAGATCCTCACACTTGCTGATGATCAGTTGATTAAATGTATTTGATTAGCAGCCTCCTGCTGCTACTTACCTTCCTGTAGAAGCACTAAAGGTGTAATCAGGACTGCATAGTTCTTACTTTAGTGTAGCCACTCTGATGTCACCCACTTGTTACTGAAGTCCTATTTCTTTGAGCCCTCTCCATCATAGCTTTATGAAACCAGACACCATGTGTACAAGGTGGCACAGACTTTATCAAGTAACCCACACGTTCATAAGGTAGTGGCTAAAGCATACTCTGCTTTTATCATCATACGTAATATTACGCTAAGACTTGAAACTAGTGATAAAGACCCTAAACTGGAATAACTTTTGCTGAGGCCACTGAAAAACCAAACTGAAAGCTATTTTCTCTTCTTGGAACCAGAGTAGTTACCTCCTAGAAACAATGCAAGTAACATCTTCCATCCTTTATATACAGTCTGTGCTAAGAAAAAACAATTTTAGCCTTGTGGGTCTGCTGGGGATGCAGTTACAGAAATCCCAAACGCCAGTAGGATTCTTGGGACCATGAATGTTGTATTGTATTTAAATCCATTCAGCAGGTGCTTAGACATGTCACTTTGACATCTGCTTTCTAAAAAATCTGCTTTTTCTTTAGGTTCCGCAGCCTCACCACAGCTTTCTTCCGAGATGCCATGGGCTTCCTGTTGATGTTTGACTTGACCAATCAGCAAAGTTTCCTCAATGTCAGAAACTGGATGAGTATGTTTCCACTGAGCCCCCTGTTCTGCTTCCAATCAATATATTTAGTTTTATGTTGCTGCACAGATAATAATCTCGACTGATTCTGAGTTTCTTCTCATGTATGCTGAGGCTTTGCGTGGCTTCCTCTGTGTTTCAGGTCAGCTGCAGGCCAACGCGTACTGTGAGAGTCCAGATGTGGTGTTGGTGGGTACCAAGGCAGACGTCAGAGACATGAGAAGTGTTCACGCCAGGCAAGCCAGAGATCTGGCAGACAGATATGGGTAAGGCCTTACAAACACTGTATTAATCATAAAAATATGTCTGTACCCATAAAGAGACATAATAGTGTACTTTCATACTTGTTTTTTCATTTTTCTTTCCTCTGCGCAAACATAATTATGGCTGCTGTTTGTTTGTTTATTAATACTGCCATGGTATTAAATTAATAACCAAACTTCATGTGACAACAGTTTACAGTTTTGTGTATGACTTTTATTGATCTTATGTCCTGTTTTATTTTTTTAATATTCAGAAGACTTATTAAACCTGACGTTCTACCACATTAAATATAAGGTTACTGTAACCTTTTTATTGCTATTGTTCTGTGGTAAATTATTATTTTATGAATTGTTTTTACTCATTTTAGCTTCTCCAATTTTAGTAGGTCTCTCAAAAAACTTTCCCTTGGCCTTCATACATTATCACCTGATTCTAGTAACGATGCCAAGTGTACAACATAAAAAAGACATCCAGTGTGTCCTACTAGATTTCCTACAGATTTATAAATGACAGATGAGAAGGGGATAACTTTTGGACTTTTTGCTGATTCGTACACAATATCCATTATTATGAATAGATGAAAGTGGTTGCCTGAACTGATGAGTTCATTTGAGCCAGAAGTGTGAATTATCCCAAACGAGACCCCATTTTCCAAGCTGAAGCCCAAAGGGGCTTTTCAGCATGACCTACAAATACAAACTGACAGTGGGATCATTATATTTTTACAGCCTAATTGCTGAGAAAGACATTATCAGCCAAACCAAAACGAAATGACACTTTATTAAAATTGTTTGCTATCACTACTCTGGTGCCATTTTAAATTTTAAATTTAATATCATTTTATATTTATATAGCTTCATCTGGTAACTGTGACTTAGAAGTTTGTGTTTTCCACAGGTTCATGATGAGTTAATGAGTTCAGATTAGAAATTATTTTCTCTTTTCCTTGAAGATGACGGAAATCTAGTTTTAATTCTGTCACCATAAGATGGTGCTGGTCAACAGTTTTCCCTGATCTTGGATCTGTAAAAAAAACTTTTACAGCAAAGACTTATTTTGGATTGTAAAACAATCATTTTTAAGATCAGCTAATGTTTTTGGTTTTTTTTGTTCCACATTCTCCTAAGCATCCCGTACTTTGAGACAAGTGCAGTGACGGGTGCTGATGTGGACCTGGCGGTGACCACCCTGCTGAATTTGGTGATGAAGAGGATGGAGCAGAGCACATACGGGGGCCAAGGCTCAGAACCCAATGGCAGCCCCGTCTCCAGCCATGAAGTGGAGGAGGCATCTGTGAGGAGCAGGTGTGCCTGCTGATGTTGCAACCACCAGCTCCTCTTTTCTCTTTTACACCATATATCACTGCATTTTGAGATCCTACCATTTTCTCGAGATCTACAACAGCCTGTGAAATGAGACATTTGAGATCCTAAAACCAAGCAAAATATAAGCCCATACTGTACATGAAAGGAGAAGAGCTTTGGAAAGTTTCATTTAAAGCGTTATTATTGTTACAGTATAAATTCGTCTTCTAGTGTTATTTATTCACACACTTTGTATTGTCAGAAACAACATAAAAGAAAACTGCAAAATGAAACAACTGTATGTCCACTTATAAAAAACTGCAGTACTATGTAAAAGTCTTGAACCCCTTATTTCTTTATATTTTGCATCCAAGGAGCCAAACTTTCTTATTATGTTGGTCTTTACTTTCTGAAGGTCATTCAAAGTTTTTCTTTGGACACTGGCTGTTTTTAACACATTATCTGAAGAATGTTTATTTAAGCCACTTTAGCCTGACTTATAATCATTCACCGGAAAATATGCAACTCAACAGATGAGCCAGTATTGTGTCTACACATAGGAAACAACTTGGCAAATAACCAGTCAATACCCGTGTCTTTCAAGTTCTTTCTTTACGATTGAAAACTCAATTTCTTACTTTTTAAACTGCATTTCCATATATGTCTGTTTGAAAAACATTCCTGGCCCTTATTCCCATTTTCAAGTAAAGTAGTGGTCCAAAGACTTACACAGCTCTGTGAACAGGTCGAATATTGGCTCTTTTGACATGTTTGTACAAACACACCACAGATAAAGATATGGGTTCAAACAAATGCCCCAGAGTAATTTTTATAATTCAAAAAAATAATTAAAAATATAGATAGATACAAAACAGATAGAAAAAGTAAGTACACACTGATACATTTATCTTTCTTTAAGTGTAAAATTAGGTGGTTGGGTTGCTAGTGTTTTGAAGAACTTTATGCAGTGATATTTAAACATGTGGTCTGTCTTATTTAAACCTTTGACATCTTGGGTGTGTTGTTCTTTTTGTCATTGAAATGTGCGGTGTGAGTATCTGAAGAACTCTCAGACTTTTTACAGAATCCTGTGAAATCTTTTGAAATGATCATTCCACTGTGAAGTAAATCATATACCAGTGGCAAATATAGTCCCCAAAACTCAGTCGTAGGATGTGCAGGTAACTGTTGGTGCCAGTGCGTACATGTCTACTCTCCAAAGAGGCTCAGAATGCTGATAAAGACAAAAGCCTTCTCTGGGCATACAAAATCTAGGAAAGAGAAGACCAAAGGGTGCTTTCCAGAGGAAAGTCATACTAAGTGTGATGGATGATGTTGGAAATTATCTGGTCTGGGGTTGCTTTGCTGCCTCAGGCAGCTGGTAGTCAATGATTCCACTCAGTCACAGATAATGTGAGGAAAGTTGTCTAAAAGTGGAAGTTAAAATTATCCAAATCCACTAACTGTATATAAAAGATGGACATAGCCTCTGGCTCTGAATGCCAATTCCAAAAGACTTCCCATTCCAAAGACGTTTTGGGGGGAAAAGGCCCTTGGCTTTCAATAAACATTTTCTTGATTAATTTATGGGCTTGTGGCAATTTCCAGTTATATTAAACACACCCAGAAGTTCATATGTTAAAATGTAACATTTGTGATTAAAGATTTTTGATTTACAAACTGTAGATCCTGTTGTAGTCAGATCCAACACTGGGCTGGTAAGGTGTAGTTTTAAAAAGGTGTGATGGCAATAGTGAAAATACCCAGTGTGGGGCTTCACAAGAGGACTTCACTAGCCACTTACATACAGTCTATGTGTGTCCTAAGCACCACTGCAAATCCACCCAGGAACGGTTGGAGGGTTAATAACAGTGTGAAATAGTCTATGCAATAAAACCTTTGAGCATTTTAGCATCTTGCAAATAGAGGAATCTTGCATGGAACAGTAGTAAAAACGCAAGAAGCTGAAATTCGGGGACAATAAAAATGTCTCTACATGTAAAGTATATGTGACTTTATGTGTAGCCACTATTTCAAGCAGAATAAGATTTTTGTGTGTGTAAATATATTGCAAAGCCAGCAATTTCATTTAGTTTATGTAGTTGTTGTTAGTTTACTTTTTAAAAAAAATATTTTAATCTCCAAATGGGTCATACCAGAGAAAAATACTGTTTATTTGACACGTTGAGGCATTGATGGAAGGAATATGCAGGCACATAATGTATATTTATCATGGAATATAATCAAAAAACATTTACTGTAGGACATGGTTTCTTACTTGGATGATTGCTGTTGATCGAACAACCAGGATAGTACAGTCACTTACATGATTTATGACTTTTATACAACATGTACATAAGCAGCATAATGGAACAAAATCGCCATGCAGATCAAACACAAGTACAGAAATGTTAAAGGGTTGTTAAAGAACAAATCCTGTATAGTGCTCAATTTGGAATAAACACATTTAATGTTTAGGTAATGCACATCACTGTCTGGTCATTTAAACATACTGTAATGCACAAAAAATATATATTACTCTGACTGGAATACAATCATCACAGAGTTTCTTGGCATCAGCATATTTTACACACATTCTGCACATTGATTTTTAATGTTACGAGAAATTTTCTTAGAGGAGGAAGTGCCCAGCAGTATACCAGTGGATATTTCCAACAAATAACTCTGAAGGAGGACATTCATAGCTTTACAAGGAAATTCTACAAATGTAGTTAATTAGGGAAATCGCTGCAAAACAGTGGCCATTAGGCAAGTGTCAGCCCTAAAAACCTCAAATGTTTGTGGGGTTACCCTAGTGTTCTGAAGCCAAAGTGCCTCAAACTTGTATTCCTTTTGCATCCAGCAGGGGGCGACTCCATTGACTGCAAAAAGACTTCCTGTCCTATTACATAGAAATATGGAAAAACACCCTTCGCTCCTTCAGTCTGTGACATTTATAAACATTTTTATCATTACTTAATCAACTCAATGGGTTAGTTTTGTAAGTCATGATCAGGATATTGCAAGTCGTTAGCCAATGAGAATACATGTACGCAGCCAGATCCAGCCCTCACTTGCCACAGGCAGTCTCAAAACACCAAGGTGGTCACGGCGAAAACACTTAGCTTGAGGCTTCATATTAAGACTTTACAAATCAGTGGAGGTGTGCAGGGCTGCCACTTTCATTTTTTATACTGTCTACTGCCATTAGTTGTCATAGAGCTTTCACAAATCAGTTTCCATTATTTCTTTTAAGCACATGGTCTTTGGTGTACCTACAAAACATTCAGTGAAGGGACTGCTTAAATTATTCTTACACATCTATAACAATCAAAGTCCTAAAATTTGGCTGTCTTTTTACAAGATGTGCAATTTCATGGTTGTTGCTTTTAATGTCGTGACTGCACTGTGATTTAAAGATTAGACACACAAGTTAACGATTTGAATTAGTTCGTTTGAACAAGACGAAAGAACAGACACTACATATGGTAAATGTGCATGACTGCATTTCTCTGTGTGTTAAACCTCAGCCTAAGCTGGAATTTGCAACAAGGAGCACATGTTGCAGAGTCATGGGATGGTCATGTGGCCAGCTTTTATTGTTTGGGTCCAGTCTTCCTCACCCCCATATCCACCAGTCTGTTTCAGTCTGGCACGATAAGGTGGACTGTTTAAGACCCCAGGACTATCTACAGTTATAAAAAATAAAGCTTGTTCATTTTTAAGTTGATCTGTAGAAGTTTGGTCCCATGTGGAATACAGCGTTCTTTTTAGCCTTCAAACAGCTCTCATACAAAGACACCAGTGATATTCTTAAGGAATACACCACCAGGAATACAAACAATAGCAAATGACTAAATTTTACCCTTCAAAAAGGTTGTATAAAACTAGCCTAAAAGATCTGTTAGTGCCTCACATGCATTACCACTTAAATATTTCATGCTGTTTGTACAAGATGCAATAAGCCATATAACATTCATTCATTTTATCTTGCATCACGAATATTGAATTTGATACAGTTACGGTAGGAATAAAGAACATTTCTTCAGTCAACAAAATAGTGAAGTTCAATCGTCGTTTGGGACATAGTGGGAAACCTCAAGATCGGTTATTATTTAAAAAAGTTCTATTTCCTGATGTTTTAAGCCACACTTGAGCCATGATTTACATCACAAGGTGGTCCGAGTCTGGTAGCCCCTGGTCAAAAATGATTTTTGACATTTGTTTGTATGCTTAAACCAAGCTTGTGTTTACTAAGTGAGAATTTAAGCATACATATTGAAGCATGTTGCATAAATATGTTGTTAGTAAATAATAAATATCATAACCCACTTAGACTCTCTCATGTAACTAGCTAGCTAACATTAGCTCCCTAATGTTTCCATTTAGGCAGGAGAAAAAGAAACAATCTGAATGTGTAAACATAAACTTACAAGATCTGAAATTATATCATGTATAAGCAAAACTACATTCCACTAAACAGCATTAAGTAGGCTAGCATAATCAACTATGCACAACTCCCTTTAAGCTAACAGTGTGCTAACCACAAAACCATTCAGATTTGGAAGATATGTTACAGTTCAATAATAAAGTCTTTACTAATGATGATTTGGGGTTTTTCTGTTTGGAAACGACCAACATTTTCACATATTTCCACAAGGTTGCTAGGTCAGTGCTTTCTATTTTGGCCTAGGACACCCTCGCAAAAGCTATTCTTAATCTCAAGAGTTCAATTCCTGGTACACTTAAGGTAGACATACAACTTCCTCACTGAGCATTTTTTTAGCAGTTGGTTGGTTGCTCATGAACACTTCAGGCATTTGGTTGTGTAGGTCAGTGGTCCCCAACCTTTTTTGCGCCATGGACCGGTTTATGGCCGACAATATTTTCACGGACCAGTCTTTAAGGGGTTGCGGATAAATACAACAAAATAAAACCAGTACTGGTACCAAAAAAACAAGAAGATTTATTCATAACACACAGGAAAAGACCCAGAGAAACCGAGTTAACAATAAAACCGATAAAAAACCCTGAAAACCATAAATTCCATAAATCACACCCAAGCCTCAACTTTTGCGGCCCGATACCAAACGACTCGGGGACCGGTCCGTGGCCCAAAGGTTGCGAACCGCTGGTGTAATTAACCCTCTGAAGTATTTACCAAGTACTCATTTATCCACTGAGAAGTCAGCAGGGCTCCTGAACAGGGCTAATTAACCTTGTTTCACTAAAATCTCACCAATACTCTGGGAGTAAGTAGCAATCCAACACTGCACTGCACCACATTCAAGAGCAATGCACGCTGGTGCCCAATGGCTCCCAACAGAAATCCTTATATCAACACACAAACGCAAACAAGAGAGTGTGAGGGAGAGAAGCAGAAGCCTCTTTTACTATTCTTCCTGTCAGTTTGCAGGGAAACACTTGCTGTCAACCACAAACAATTATCACGTATCACTTAAAACCAACCAAAGTAACAATCCATGCACATCTGTGCTCCATTTTGCACATACCCATAGTCAATTTAGCACACCCAGGCATCCACACACTCTACCCACTTATATAGTAGGTGCATTTATACTTACTTTATATTTCAGACTGTTTATTTAAAAATAGCATGACTGACTATTTTTCATATAAGCTTTGATTTAGATGCTTCACCTCACTCTCCCACTCCTTTCTGTAGTTTATATATGTATACATTTAACCCACTGTGGCAGCATCTTCTCACTGATATCTGACATAACATAGCAGCAACTGGAACATAAAGTCTTAGTATTTCACGTCATGGCAGACAGTCCGCCATGACAATTTCGGATTAGGTCAAATACGTACACTCTTGGGTTTTATTGTGAACTATCATTTAAAATGATTATTTTTAAAATCATCAAAAAGGATCCCAAAACAGCCTAAATTTTGTCCGACACAATTTTAACCATCAAGGTTAAGCTTAAAACTGTGTGGAAAACCCACTCTGGCAACACTCGTGCCTTTAACTGTGAAATAAATATTT